AAATCGAAACCTCTTCATTTCCTTCCAGATGCCCTTGGGCCAGAGCAGAGACGCCGATTGATCGATGGCTTTGGTGAGGGGAATTGGCTTCTCGCTCTTCCGTCGTCGAGTTCCACCTGAAGGAAGTCATTTTTTTTTTTTCACTTTCCAGATACGTTTGGGGCGGAGCAGAGGCGCGGGGTAATCGAGAGCTTCGGTAGGGAACACGAACCCCGTCCATCGCTAAATTCCACCTGAAATATACAGTATTTTAATATATAATAAATGTATTTTAATTTTTTTCAGACGCACTCGGACAAAGTGGAGCTCAAGCATTTTGTCTGAGTCTTGGTGAGGAACGATTCATCAAAATTTATTTTCGTTTTTTATCAATTGCTTCAGGGGAGAATATTTTTTTTTTCCTCCTTTCAGATTCGATTGGACCCAGTGGAACCGGCGCGTTCCTTCGAAATCTCGGTGAGGAACGCGGCAGCAGCCACATTTCCCCGCCCGAAATGGAATGAAAAATCGGTTTCCCCCCTCCAGACGCACTGGGGCCCGAGCCGAGACGCGGATTGATCGAGAGCTTTGTGAGGAACGCGGCTCCTCGAGTCAGGCAGCAGTCGCTCCTTCCGAAAAACCAAGAATCCGTCGCAGCTTCAATTTCCTGAGAAGTGGGGGAAAAGCGACGATTTCTTCCTTCCAAGCGATGGGAACGAAAAAAAAAACCCGCGGAAGACTTCGAGATCCTTCGTACTGTGCTTAATGGGCAAACGTCGAAGTTTATTTTGCGGTTGGTTACGAAGCAATAGTACCCGTGGTATAGTATAATATAATGTATCTGGAGGTTGAGAAGAAATAAATGAAAGTCTGATTGACTGAAGAAAATTTCACTTCATCGTGAAACTCATCGAGAAGCGAAAAAGCAGGGACTCGTTCGCATCTGATCGACCAGACTGAAATTCCTCCCGACTTTTTCTTCATCCGTATGATTGATAAACGCAACATCCCAATTAGCAATTAGCAATTAGCAATTGGTCCAGTGCACTTTCTCTCAAGGGCATCTAATCGGGATCATCCCGGGACATGTCCCTTCGGTGTCGATTTTTCAGATCCATTTGGGGATTCGCCATGGATAATCCTCCAGTTCGTCCGCCGCATGCCCTTCCAAATCGTCGTGGCGCCAAATTTGCATGCACGCCAATAGCGTTCTCAAGGGCCTTTTCCTTACCATTCTCCTTCGCATTCGCACCCAGGTTAACATTTTCCATAGTGGCGCTGTCTCAAGACATACGAAATATTTAAAAATGGACTTTCAAAGGAAATTACTAATTTCTTTTTTTTTAAGCTAATAAATCGGTAACTTGAAGACATGTTCGGATCTGGGCATCTACCTTGAGCTTCCCAGGCGTGGGACACCTGGACAACGGAGTTTAATGTTGCCGATGGGTTCGTTTGACTTTAACGGGGATTATCAAGCCATCTGACTTGATGGGTGACCCGAGTGGCACCTAACATTGAATAAACATCGATGAATCAGCATGTAATCGATTTTGATTCAATGTTATGGGCTACTGGGGTAGTTGTTTTTTTTTTTTTATTGATAATTTGACATTTCCCCTTATAGATATCAAAAATGATGAGTGAAGAATTTCAGAGCCTTTTACATCTCCTCCGCCTTGCATCAGATCCGGAAGAAAACGGCATCGACGGAAAACTTGAAATCTCGGAAAGTTCCGTTAGTTCAATCGGAGTCAAATCTGGTCGTACGACGAGCATAGGAGTGGATGTCGTTCCAGAGGAATCAAATCAGGAAAAGTTTACGATTTTTCTGGAACAGCTTATGTCGGAAATCCAAATGAGCTTGAAACTTTTTTATTTTGTCATATTCAAGTTGGGAAAAAAAAGTTTGAAATGAAAATAAGTTCATTCTTACACAATGTCATTTTCGTAATACTCGAACGAAAAAGACGCAATTTGTCTGAAAGAACGACTGATGCGGTGTCGAAGTTGACTCATGGTTTTATGGACACAGGCATTCTTTTATTCATAGAAAAAGGCCAGGGTGGGCTTTGCACTTGCATGGAGGAGTAGTATGAATGATGGATGAAGGAAGAACGTCCACACGACGGGAAGTGTCGACGTCAGCACTTCTGCCGGTTCGGAGACGTACCAGAGACCAGGGTAGGGCCCTCTAAGTCGAGTGAAATACCGTGGGGGATCGATCGTGAATGGAAAAAAAACGGGCCGCCCTTACAAAACGTCCACCTCCAGCCACCTGGCCGAAAGACAAGGAGACGTCTCTCTTCTTGGAAATGCACTTGGGTTAGCCAGGTGGAAGCATCCTTCCCGGGTGGAATTGAAATCAGTTGTATATCCCATGAAGAAGTGGATACACGTACATTTACCCTTGTTGGGTGGATTTGGAATCATTTGAACATTCAAACATCGATTTTCAACGCTTGTATGGTAGCAGTTAATGGAGATGAAAATGAAAAAAATGAACAAACATATGGAATGCATATTTATTACATGGGAAGTTGTCTCTCTTGCTTTGTTGCATACTCTTATATTACGAGTTGATGGCTCGAAACGAATATATTTAGATAATATTTTCCCCTTTCATACCACAAATGCAAGTTACAGTGAGGGAGCGGGAGAACCTTGATTTCCCTTCTCATTTAGACGAGTCAATGAATAACTACAAGAAGTTGATTTGGACGGAGCTCGAGAATGCCTTCAGCCACGCAGTCGAGGGATGACAAGTTCCAGTGCAAAGACGAGAACGGAAAGGATGCAACCCGCGAGGAAGAAGACGAAGGGGCTCTGG